TGACAGCAGGCTGGGAAAGGGAATGCCCCCAGGAACCAGAGCAACTACAGAATTAGAGACTCTCGGGCCAAACTAAAGAACCTAAATGGTTCTGATCTCCAAATGCACTGAGCTCAGAACACAGGAAGTCTTCCTGCAGCACCAAGTTAGAGGTAGAGTGAAGAACAAGATCTTCCCAGTAAACACATCTCCCAGTAATAAAGATCTTATTTTTGTAATTAACCTTTAAAAGGTTACAAATACAAGTTGGAAATGCTGTTTGCTTTGTGCACGCTGTTTGCATTGTCCCATCTCCACTCTCTGAGGAGAGTGCTGCTCTCCTGGCTCCCCAGGAGATAGTCAACAGGACAGCAGCACCAAGGCACAATGGCAACTGAGCATCTGAGCTAGGCAGGTGAGAGGCAGCACTCCAGCAGGGCTGCTACTGGGGGCTGGAATCCCTTCGAAAAATAGAGAGCCCTCAAGAAATCACACTAAAATAGCAGCCAAGTGCCAATGTGCTGAACATGCATCCTCCTGTTCCCACCCTGGAACACCTCCTGCCCCTCACCTCCCGCAGGGTGACACTGCGGCATAAGCATTGCTCATCTGGTTAGTGTTAATGCTGGCCAGGACTTCACCCTTTGGGCTCCAGATCATGATGGTAGTGTCACTGGAAGCTGTCATGATGAACTTTCCTGGGGGAAGAAAAGGCAAACATCAGGAGAGCTCCCAGCTGTGATGCCACCACAGACTCACCAAAGGCCCAGGACAGACCCCAAGCAGGGTGACCCCTCCCTGCACCCAGTCAAGAAAACCAAAATCAGCACCAAAAGTCAAGGAGGGGCAATCCCCTAGGCCAAGGCAAAGAGCCTCACCTCCCAGTCATGCCTTGGAGTACCTTGGGCATGCAGAGACCCTGCATGCTCCTTGCCCTGCACCCACAGAGCTTGGCACTTCACTGGTTCCACAGCAGGAACGCGCTGCTTGGTCTTCCCCAGGTGGCTAAAATGCAACTTTCAAGCTGTGGGTTGCAGCAGGTAGGTGACTACAATCACACTGCTGAAGTCCAAATTTACTGGTCAGGTCAGCAGTTAGACCTCTGTTTGTCTCCACTTTTCCCTCTCTCCCAGACGGGGAGCTGCTGATTTACCTTTCAGCTATTTCTTTAGGTGCAGTTTTCACTCTCACAGCTGAACAAAGGTCTCAGTTAACCTGTTGTCTGCTCTGCTATTACAGAGGTGAACTCACATCCACCCACTTCCAACTGTCCACTGTCTCATCAAGCCCTCACCATTAACACATACTCCCTCCCACCCCGTTCTAGAAGATCCCAAAAGTTTCACATAGACCATACGAACTCACTAGAGAGCTTTTTGACTGGTTAAAGACAGACTGGTGGGCCAGAGAACAGTGAGACTTTCAACACTGAGACCCAGACCTCTCTGCAACAGTGTGCCTGAAAATGTAAATGAAGAGACTGGGCACACTGGGGTAGTTCTGTGCTTCCAGGAATACAATCTGTCCAAGAAGCACATCTTTCAAGTCAACTGGCAGTAAATAAAGGCTAAAAAGTGACACCTAAGAGGCTACAGAATGAAGTACTGGTGAAGAAATGAGCCTTGAGAATGCCAAAAACTCCAACACTTCCAACCCAACACCTCTTGCTGTACACGAGATATAAAAACTGAGTTGTGGTCAATGGCTCAGTGTCCAGCTTGAGACCAGTAACAAGTGGTGCTCCTCAGGGATTGGTGTTGGGACCGGTCTTGTTCAACATCTTTGTTGCTGACATGGACAGTGGGATTGAGTGCGCCCTCAGCAAGTTTGCTGATGACACCAAGCTGTGTGGTTCAGTTGATCCACTGGAGGGAAGGAATGCCATCCAGAGGGACCTTGACACGCTTGTGAGGTGGGCTGATGCCAACCTCATGGAGTTTAACCATGCCAAGTGCAAGGTCCTACACCTGGGTCAGAGCAATCCCAGGCACAGCTACAGGCTGGGCAGAGAAGAGATTTAGAGCAGCCCTGTGGAGAAGGACTTGGGGGTGCTGGTCGACGAGAAAATGAACATGAGCCAGCTTCAGTGTGCGCTTGCAGCCCAGAAACCAACCATATCCTGGGCTGCATCAAAAGAAACATGACCAGCAGGCTGAAAGAGGTGATCCTGCCCCTCTACTCTGCTCTTGTGAGACCTCACTTGCAGTACTGTGTGCAGTTCTGGTGTCCTCCGTGTAAAAGGGTATGGAATTGTTGGAACAAACCCAGAGGAGGGCCACGAGGGCCACTGGAGCACCTACCCTATAAAGACAGGCTGAGAAAGTTGGGGCTGTTCAGCCTGGAGAAGAGAAGGCTGCGTGGAGACCTCATAGCAGCCTTCCAGTATCTGAAGGGGGCCTATAGGGATGCTGGGGAGGGACTCTTCATTAGGGACTGTAGTGACAGGACATGAGCTAAAGGGTTCAAACTTAAACAGGAGAAGTTTAGATTGGATATAAGGAGGAAATTCTTTCCTGTGAGGGTGCTGAGGCACTGCAATGGGTTGCCCAGGGAGGTTGTGAATGCTCCACCTGGCAGTGTTCAAGGCCGGCTTGGACAGAGCCTTGCGTGATATGGTTTAGAGCGAGGTGTCCCTGCCCATGGCAGGTGGATTGGAACTTGATGATCTTAAGGTCCCTTTCAACCCTAACTATTCTATGATTCTGTATCAAGCCCCCAAAAGTGAGCAGATGTACCTGTCCCTGCAACTCCTATGTTGATGATGGGAGCTTTGTGCTTCTTTGGGAAGTCCTCAGCAGCTGCAGTGAAGGTGAAGTTGCCGTCATCCTTCTTGGTCATTTTATAGACACGAATTGTCTCGCTGCTCGCCAGCCAAACAACAAATGCCCTGTGGAAGGACAGACACTCTGAATCATTTTGAGATGCCTCAGTTCACCCTGGCTTCAGCAAGGAAACTACCAGATAACTCACTAGCACCTGAGGAAAAGGATGCACTGGCAGATAAAAGGCTGTGTGCTCACAAGGGCACCAAGTTCCCTCTCTGTGTGAGCAAAACTACAACACTAAATGGAAAAGGGCTTGTTACTCCATATCTGGAAATGAGATCTCTTCCGCTAGGAAATGCCACTTGCAAAATGCCAAGGTATGCTTTTCCCACTGGTCTCCCCAGCCCGAGTGAGGATCAGCAGCCTAGCCCAGCTGCAGGATGCTGGAAAGGACCTTGACAAGCCCCTTCCATGGATGCAGCAAGCTGGGCACTTTTTGCCTGGACACTTTTTTGGACACTATTTGCCTGGAGAACCACATTAAAGTGACAGCTGCTTTCATGAGAGGGCCACGAATCAGCAGTATCATTGAGTCCTTGTGAGGGAGGTTACCTCCATGCAGCCCAGAGGACACATCACTGATGGCAAGCAAGGCCTGTGCTGTCTGACAGGCACCTCCATCCACAGGACATGGAGACACAGGATGTGGCCACAGCCCTAGGGAGACCTTAAGAACGTCTTACCAGTACCAAAAGAGGCCAACAAGAAAGCTGGAGAGGAGCTTTTGACAAGGGCCTGTAAGGACAAGACAAGGGGGAATGACATTAACCTGCCAGAGGGGAGACTGAGATGAGCTCTTAGACAGAAGCTCTTCCCTGTGAGGGTGCTGAGGCACTGGCACAGGGTGCCCAGAGAAGCTGTGGCTGCCCCATCCCTGGCAGTGTTCAAGGCCAGGTTGGACACAGGGGCTTGGAGCAAGCTGCTCCAGTGGAAGGGGACCCTGCCCGTGGCAGGGACTGGAACTGGATGAGGCTTAAGGTCCCTTCCAACCCAAACCAGTCTGTGGCTATGCCGTGATTCCATAACGTCCTGGTGCTGCTATGCCCCAGGAGGTTGTGGTGCCAGGGCTGGATAAGGTGTGGCCGTACCGTGAGTCGGGGCTGAAGCGGATGAGCTCGGCGTGGTCCAGCCCCGTGCTGGCACGCAGGCAGCGGTGCTCACGCGCCGCAAAGTCGCGGGTGCTCCACAGTCGGACCGTGCGGTCATCGGCGCACGACGCCAGGTACTTCCCGTTGCTGCTGAAGTCCAGGCAGGAAACATTGCCACTGTGGCCCTACAGAGAAGGCTCAGTGACCACAGGGCAGAGGCCCTACGGGGCAGGAGGCGCCGGGCCTGGTGGGGCACCGGCACCGGGCACACACGGTACCTTGAGGGCGGCGACCAGCAGCCGGTGGGTGAAACTGTGCTGCTGCGCTTTGTCCCTCCGGGCCCGCGCCGCCGGTTTCGCCTTCTTGTGCTTCCCGGTCCGGGAAGCGGCGGCGCCGTTCGCTCGGGAATCTGCGGGGCGCGGAGGGTCCGGTGGGGCTCGGGTCAGCGCCGCCCCGCCCGGCCCGGCCCGGCCAGCCCAGCCCCGCTTCCCCCGCCGTCCCTGCGGTACTCACCGAGGGGGGACGCGGCGGGCATCCCCCGCGGGCCGGCACCGCGCAGCACGGCCGCGAGCAGCAGGAGAATGAGGACGAGGAGCACAGCGATAGCACCGGGCAGCCCCAACCCTCCGAGAGCACCCACCTCCATCTTCCCTCCACCGCCACCTCAGCGGGAGCGGGACACTGCGCGCATGCGCACGGCGCCACTCTCGCCCTGCGAGAGACCCCTGGCGGCGGGTGCGGGGTACGGCCCCTGCCGTGCCTCTGCCCGTGCCTCTCCCCGGCCCCGGCCGTGCCCTGCCCGTGCTCCTGCCCCTGCTCAACCGCTGCTCTCACCCTGCCCGGCGGCAGATCAGACCCGACGCAGGAAGAACCACGCTGGGGCCTGTAGGCAGAGCGAGCTCTTTATCGGTCACAACAGCCGGGCACCGCTGCCCCGGCTCCCTGCCCCGGGCACGCAGGACCCCGCTGCGCCGCTCTGGCGTCTGCCCGGCCCCGCTGCAGCCTCTGCCCCGCGCAGGCGGGGACTCCAACGGGGGGGACCCGGCTGCTGCCAGCCATGCTCCTTCCGAGCAGCCCGGCCCTGGTGGCGCTGCCGGCGGCTCGTTGCTGAGTGCTCGTCCTTCCTCACCGAAGGTCTCGGCAAGGCCGCGAAAGCCGGGCCGGGAGCAGCTAGGAGGAGCCCCCGCGGCCCATCCCTGCCACTGCCCGCGTCGCCTGCTCGGGGATGCAGGCTGGGTCGCTCAGGATGGAGGTGGAAACGCTCAGCTGCCGGAGGGAGCTCAGGACGGCTGCGGGGAGACGTGGGACATGTGAGCTCCCCTATGCCCTGAGGGCTGAAAGGGTGAACCCGTCCTGGGGGAGCTGGCTCTCCCTGACACAGCCCACAGCAGGGAAGTTGAAGGGAGCCCCCTGCTCCCAGCCCTGCCCAGCCGGGACACAGGCCCTCCGCAGGCTGGAGCACGGGTGTGAAAGGAACACGGAAAAGCACGGAGCACACAGCCCCAGAGCATCCAGCGGGCGCTTCCCTCCCGTGCAGCATCAGCGTGGTGCAGCACCAGCCCACTGCCCTCGGGACACCCCTGGCCTTTTCCCCTCTGCTTTCTCATCAGTCCATGATGGGGCCAGCCCGGCGCCTTCAGGGTGCTGCAGACAGGCACAGGAACACCTACTTGGCCGAAGCGCTGGGAGGGAGCAGTGCTGATCCAGCCAGGCCAGAGATGTCTGCGTGAGGCTCTCCATGCTGGCCGTGGAGACCATGCCATTGAACGACTCAAAGAGGGGCCGGATGATGATACTGAACTGATGGGAGCAGAGGAGTTAAGGGCCAGCCTTGCCAAGAGCATGGATTCCACCTGTAAGGTCTAGGCAGCACTCTCCTACGGGCAGCAGGACAAACCTCCCTGCCCAGACCTGGGCAGACCTGCTGTGTCCCTTTCTCAGCACAGCACCATGCTGAGCACCAGCCCATACTGCTGGGGCGATGGGGAACTGAGCGTCACCCAGGAGGCAGTGGGAGAGCTGTGTCACCCCCATCACAGCTGAAGCTGCCAGATATGGTTGATTAGACACAACTCTTGAAGGAGACTGCCAGCACAGTGTCCTCTGGAGTGACCAGGAGCAGGGCATGACACCAGTGTGTTCAGTGTGCTTCTCTCCTGGGACCACCACTGAGGACTAGTGATTTTGTGCACTGCTTTGACCTCCCATTCCCTGGCCCTTGGCCTCCTCCATTCTTCCAACCACATGGAGCCCAGACTTGGGTCCTGGACACACCTGGGTCTCCAGTGTGTGCCACGTGGCCACCAAGACCAAGCCATCATGTCACCAACTTTGTGTCTGGACCTTTCCTAATCTCTAGTTGATGGCTGCTGTATCCCAGAGCCAGTTCCCACATTGCCAGGAGCTGTTGCCTGCACGAGCTCAGCTCTGCCAGTGCCTCCTCCCCAAGGACTGACCGTTTACACCTACAGGGTTTGCTCCCTTGTAACAGAAGCTGCCTCCTAATCTCAGCATCTCAGCGTGTTCCACCATGTGCCCTTGGCTGGGAAACATCTCCCCATGGCCTCCAGAGCCTCTTGAGCTGAAGGGACCCCACAGGCCCAGGAGCAGCGGGTGGAGCAGAGGAGCTGGTGTCTGGTGGAGGGCTCTGAGCAAGCTGCAGGCGCTGGCCCCAAAGGATACGATCCAGAACTTCCAGTTCTGCAGCGTGGAGGAGCGCACGTACTCGTCAAACATGCTGCGCATCTGGTCAAAGCGCTGGCGTGTGATGGGCACCCCTGTGGCTGGCAGCTGCTCCTGGCAGAGGCTGTGGGGCACCAACACTGCTATGGGTCCATGTTCAGGAGACGGGGAGCCACAGGGGCTGCCCTGTGGGGAGAGGCTCCGGCAGGACCTGAGCTCTCAGCAGGGGTGAGCAGGCAGCATCCTCCTCCCAGGGCAGCTGTGGGGCCTGGCCCCATGTGCTGGTCCCACATGGCACTGCCTCTTGAGCATCATCCCTCCTCCAAACAGGGTTTGAGGTGGGGCAGAGTCAAGTGCAGGTCCTGGGAGGTGCTCAGGAGACCTGCTGTGTCCTGCTGCCTCCCCAGCGCTTGCCCTGCCTGGATACCCCGAGGCAGGCAGTGGCTCCCTCCCGCCTGCCCCAGCCATGCCCCACTTACTTGATGGAGCCATTGAGCTCCTCGATCTGCTCCCGCAGCCGCTGTGCCTCGTCCTGCAGGGCTGCCCGCTCCTGCTGCAGCTTGCAGATGTACTCAGCTGTCTTCTGCAAGGTGGTGGCTTTGCTGACCTGAGGGGCCACAGGGTGAGACAACGCAGGGAGCTGCTGGGAGTGGCGGGGTGGGGGGCACCCCGTGCAGCAGGGCTGGCAGTGCAAGAGGTGCTCTGCTCCAGTGCCCAGACCACCCTGGCACGGCTGCACCATATGGGTCTCTGTGTGCCTGCTGCGGGCTTGCAGCCTCCTGCCCCAAGGGCTGGGGCACAGGACAGGAGCTCCCTACACTGGGGCAGGCTGGAGATGCAGCATCTCAAGGGGACAAACCTTGTCCCTCTATGCTCAGCGCTGGCCGGTCCATGCAGCCCTGGGCACTCACCTTGATGCTGGGCTGGGCGTTCAGCGTGCTCACCAGGCTGTGCAGGGTGTTGAAGCCCAGCTTGATGTTGAAGCGCCTCTTCTGCTCGGCGGAGATGTGTGTGATGCGGCGGCTCTCCACCTGCCGGTGAAGGGCCATCAGGCACCTCCTGATGCAGGGGCAGCCCCGAGCCACCGGCCCCAGCTTGCCCAAAGTTTGTAGTGAGGCTATGGGGGAAGCTTGGAGGGCAGCAGGAAAGGGGGGTGCATATGGAGTTGGTGCCTCCCATAGCTCCTGGTGTACCTTGCTGGGCTCAGGCCTGCCCCGACATGACACGGGATGGTGCAGGGGGATGCCAGTGCCCATCCCTGCAGTGGGTCTCGGGGAAGCCTGGCCAGGCTTGGGACAGTCAACGCCTGGAAAAGGGAAAGTGATGCTCTGGGGAGAGAGGCAGCAGCAGCCCCTCGTGATGGGCTGACACCAGGGTCCCACGCTGGGATGGGGATGGGCAGAGAAGAGCAGCCTGCAGCACTACCCCAACCCCAGGGCATCTGCCCCAGCATCCAACCAAATCTTATCGGTTTCTCTTATCCCAAATCCCACTCATTTTTTACAACAGCTCAGAAATGGGAACATCTGGAATGTGACATTTGAAGTTCCCAGTGTTTCTTGTGGTGGAATTTGCCAGGAGAGCGGACTGAAGGCAGCAAGGCTGTGGTCTGCAGCACCAAACTGAAACAGAGAGTGAGACCAGAGCCTGGTTTCCAGCCGCCGCTCTGGTTTCTGTGGGTGAAAGCAGGGCACTTCCTGCTCAAAACCCAAGCTCCGGGTTTTCAAAACCACAGCCCGACATTTTGGTCCTCTTTGTCTTTTCCTGTTTCTGCTTTTGTCCCTGTAGAAGAAGGCAGGTGAAGGACTGTGCCCTCCCTCCCACACACAAGGAACTCCTCCATGCTCAGCCGGGTAAATGTAAATCTCTGGCATTGAAGTAAAGCTGAAACGTCCCCATTAACGTTTGGGGCAGGCTCCGTGCAGGGGATGCAGCGTCCTGGGGAGCTCCCTTCCGCGCCCCAGACTCACCGCACGCCGACGTGGGGGACAGCCGCTCTGCCTTGGGCACCAGCAGTGGGCCCGGCTGGGTGCCTGCCAGCGGCACCGGCACCACCTGGGCAGGGCTGGAGCCAGGAGCCAGCCCTGGGCTCAGCTGGGCCATTCTGGAGAGGAAGGTGGCGGGGACGTCAGGGACAGCGCTCTGCTGCGGGGAGAAGGCAGAGGGAAGGGGGAGCTTGGGGACCCAGCGCCCCACGTGCGCCAGGGACCAGACCTTCCCTTTGGGTTGGTCGGTGCCCAGGCACTGACATCAGCACATCTGCAGGGGGACAGGGAAAGGGGACGTGCGCTCCTTCCCACCACCTGCATGGCAGCCCCATCGCCCCAGGAGGGGGGTCCTGCAAGGGGGTGCTTCCCACCTCCACTCTGTTTCTTCACAGGTGATTCCTGCCCCACATGCCACCTCCTTCTCCCTGTGCCTGTCCAGCTCCATATTGCACAGGGTAACCCCACAGAGCCCTATCTCCCCCCCTGCCCTAGCTCTACCGCTGCCCAGCAACCAGGAGAAGGCAGTGTCTGACCTGGGGAGGCATTTCCCAACCCGGGGGTCTAGACAGATGCTTACCGGGGAAACAGGGGATGTGGGCACAAGTCCTTCACCTGTCGGGCTTGGGGCATCCAGGACTGGCTCCTGCTTGGCTGCAGAGGGCAGGGAGCAGAGGGAACTGCTGTGTGAGGGTGCTGGGGCCTTGGGGACCTATTCTGCCCCCCAGGACAACCAGCCCCCAGCACAGGCATTGCTGCAGCCCTTCCCTGCCTGTCTGCGTCAGAGAAGGGTAAAGCAGCCCCTAGAGAGAGAGCTGCCTTTGCTCCCTACAGCAGGGAGATCATCAGGAGCCTTGGTGCAGGCAGGGACCCCCAGACACCCACGCCAGCCTCCGTGGGACCTGTCCCATCTCATGTATGGGCAGCAGGTCCCCTTAGCCCCTCTGTGCCAACAGGAGACCAGGCTGAGAACACAGGGGCTTGGCAGTGGTGCCCGTGGCTGGGCCCTGCAGGGAGACCTCCCTGGGCACGGCTTCCCCCTGGCTTTGGGGCTGCCTCGTGGTGGGGACATCCGCATGCCCTGCCCAGCATCCCCACATCCAACCCAGGGAGGTAGCAGGGTCCCACCTCCAATCCCCCCCCCCAGCATCTCCCCCCACCAGTGTCTGCCCCAGGCCCCCTTACCTGCGGTCAGGAGCTGGCTCAGGCAGGGGTTGGGCATGGCCAGGGGTGTCGGTGGGGGGGGTCCCTGCAGCCTCTTCGCTTTGGTGCCATTGGGCTTTGCCTTCAACCGCCCGCTCCTGCCCTGGGGCAGGCCCCTGGGGGGGGCAAACCTGGGGTCGCCCAGCAGGGTGGGAGGCAGGAGCTCAGGGGCAGCCGGGCGGGGGTACCCCGGGGGCACCATGCCTACAGCATAGCCCAGCTCCGGGGAATGCGGGGCGAAGCAGGGCGCTGAGAGCGGGGATGTGGGATGGATGAGGAGCGAGGGGCTGGGGGAGCTGGGGTAGGGGAACTTGCAGCGAGGTGCTGAGATGGGGGAGCACAGGGGGTCCGGGCTCAGCACTGATGTCCCGGGGGACAGGCTGGGAGGGGGGTACTGGGGTCCTGGTGGCTCCAGGCTGGGGGGCCCATACTGCAGCAGGGGCTTGTGTCGGAGCTGGGGGCTGAGGTCGCTGGGCACTGTGGTGGGGGTGTTGGGGGGCAGCAGGGCTGGGGGGAGCTCGGGGCCCAGGAAGGCGCCGTGGAGGCCAAGCTGCGAGGCACCGCTGGGCTGCAGGAGACACGGGATGGTCAGAGGGGTGCCGGGGCACTGTGGCCGCGGGCCGTGGGCTGTGGTCCTGCTCACCTGGAGGAGGGCGCTGGGTGAGAGCGGGGCCTCGGGACTTGCAGGCAGCCCCCGAGCACCCATCAGGCACCCCCCATCACCGAACAGGGGCTCGGCCATGGGCATGAAGCAGGGTGGCTCCTGGTAGCCTGGTTGCATCTGTGATGGCAGTGGCCGGTGGCTGGTGAACATATCTGTGGAGACAGAGCGGTGGGCATCAGCAAACCTTCCCAGAGGGGGGATGTCAAGCCCCAGGGCACACTGGGTCAAGCTGTATCCCGTTACCAGCAGAGGTTTGCACCCGTGGCCAGCCTTGCCTCATCAAGGGGACAGGAACACCCACCCAAGGGAGGGGACCCCATCCTGACACCCAGCCAGGCACGTCATGCTGCAGGGCTGCTCCCAGGGCTAGGTGGCTGTCCAGCCCCTCCTGAACCAGCTCCAGCCTGGGGCAGGCCCTGGGACCCCCAGGCTGTGGGGCAGCCGCAGCTGGCGGGCTGGGAGGCACAGTTCACAGCACCCCCCAGCCACGGGGGACGCTCCCCTGGAGTCACGGCGAGCTCTTACCCCCCCCGGCAGTGCCGTGCCTGCAGCCTGTGGCTAACCACATCCCATGGCCTTCCCGAAGCTGAGCCCCATGACCCTGCCGTGACTCCCTCTCCCTTCCTCTCCCCTTCCCACAACCCTGCTCCTTCCGCAGGCCCAGACACTGTGGTGCAGAGGGCTGGCCTGATGCTTTGGGCCACCCCCTTGGGGAAATGAGCTCCCCGGGCATGGCAGCCCCATGCACGCTTCGGCTTGGTGCTGGCGCTGTGGCTGCCTGGGCCAGTGCTGGCTCCGGCAGTGCCACCAGGACGGTTTTCCCTGGAGAGGATGACTCTGAGCTGGGGCTGGGGCTGCTGGGTGCTTCCCGGTGGGATGGAGCAGGAGCGCTGGCTGTGTTTGCAGACTGGCACAGACTCTGTGCCTGAGCAGCAACCCTGGCATCCCCACTGGGGAGCACCCAGCCATGCTCCCAAGCCCTTGGCTGACATGACCATCACTGCCCCACGCTCCTCTCCCTTCCTGCAGAGCCCGGCTCAGTCCACAGGCTGTCTCTGGTGCCCACATGTGTAGCCATTCCCCAGGACTCTGCTCTGCCTCCAGGGTGCCCTGGCTGGGACCTGCAAAGGTCTGAGACCCTTCTGAACCTCCATCAGAGAAGCAAACACACCAGCAGGGTGGGATGCCATGGAGCTGAGCACGGCGATGACTCCAGCAGTGCCATGTGCTGGCAGCCAAGGGTAACCCCAGTGCGAGACAGTGCAGTGCCACCCCTGAGCTGCCCCACTCAGCCCTCAGCCTGTCCCTTCCCCCTGCCAAGGACACGGTGAATGCCCGGGAGCATGGCAGAGCCATCCCTGCCCTTCCACTACTGTGGGCTCTGGTGCTGCCAGGCAGGGTCTCCATCTCCCGAGGGTGCAGCACCCAGCTCCACGTTGCCCCCCGCTCTTTGTCACGCCCACATGGCACACTGAAGCTCTGCGGGTATTTATAGGCATTTCTGGTGCCCAGCCCTGCAGATTCAATTCCTCTTGTGCCTCTTGCTCTGCTGCAGGGATGGAAGGTGGCTGGCAGCCCCCAGGAGCCCCGTCCCCCCTTTTCTTACCTCTTCCCCACCCCACAGCTCTTGCCCACACTCCTCTCCACCACTGCGTCACGCTGACTTCTCCCCAGCAGTACGGTGTGGCCAGGGCACATCACTGCTCACAGGAGAAGGCCCATGTGGATGGCACACCACACCTTTAGCATCCCGTTCAAACCCAGGGCTGGGACTGGGGCTACAGAACCCACTCCTAAACCGAGAACACTCCAGCATTGGCCCCAGGCCCCGAGTGAGCATGGTGGGGTGATGCCACCCCAGGGGATGCCAGCGCTGCCCCCTGCACCCCAGTGCCCTCTATGGGTCCTACCTGGAGCACAGTGCCAGCAGGGCCCGGGGCCCGGCTGCTCCCTTGCATCTGCCATCAGGACTTCTCCATCTGCCCCACACCGTGCTCTGGCACCCGCCGCCAACGCACGGAGCTTCCTCCTTTGGGGATTGGTTTGCCTGTGCTGACTGACAGGCGCTGAGCTCTGCCACCACCGCCAGGCACAGCGGCAGCCCCGTGACCCTGCGAGCCCTGTGCTGCCCGCTGCAGCACCCACCCTGCACGGGTGCCAACTGGTGCTCTGTGCAAGGCTCCCTGCTACACACCCTGATGGAAAAGTGCCCTTCGGGCCACGACCAGGTTGGCTCCGGCAGCCTGCACCCAGCATTCGGCCCCCATCTCCTCTCCCCAGTCATCCCTGTGGGTTCATGACCTGGCACTGCCGCTCACATGGGCTGTGAGCACCTCTGCTCCGACATCCCTGCCCCACACACCCCCTCTGCCCAGCGCACACCCACCTCCCTCATCGCTGTCACAGCACTGCGAGCAGGGCTGCTCTGCACAGCATCCCAGGAAATGCCATGTCTGGGACAAGACTCCCACTCACGGGAGCACAAAAGCCCTGGGGCACACCAGCCATACCTGGGATGCTGTCTCTGACCCCAGCTGGACTTGAGACCATGCCCACCCCCAGCAGTGCCCACATGTGGATCTCCAGGGTTTGGGCAAAACGTGAATTAGAGTCCTGTGATGGTTTGGGTTAAAGGGACCTTAAAGCTCCTCCACTTCCAACCCTTGCCATGGGCAGGGACATCTTCCAATAGAGCAGATTGCTCCCAGCCCCATTGAGCCTGGCCTTAAACATTCCTTGGAAGAGATGCTCTCCTGCAGTGAAGTGGCTTGCAGTAAGACCTGCTCCATTCCCACGCAGCACCCTGGAGCAAAACGCTGCCCTTTTCCCCAGGAAACAAAAGACAACTTGGCTGCTAATAGAAATGTATTGGTTCAGATGGGCACCCCCCTGCCCCTTGCCATCTCCTGCTGAGCATGAGGCTGTGCAGGTTCTGGGCCTGCTACTGTGCCACTGCTGTGGTGAGGGGCTGCTTGAGAGGGGTCAGTGCAGACTACCAGCACCGTGCAGGGTCTCTCAGGGCAAGGGACACTTGTCAGGTGTCACTGTGACCCATTTGGAGCTGTCGCACCTACCAATGACTGGCACCTACTTGGGGCACCTGGGGACAGGAGGCAAAGGGCCAGCAGTGGGAACAGACCCTCTTCCCAGAAAGGGTCTCACCCTGATGGGATCTCTGGAAGGAAGGAGCCAAGAAGATGCTGGCAAGAGCCTTCCCATCACATCCCTCCCTGGGGCATCCCCCCGCCTGTCCCAGCACATCAGAGTGTCCCAGCCTAGTCCCTGACAGCATCTTATCTTGTACCACGCCATGGCCATGTGGTGCAAGCACCGCTGTTGCCTCCTGCCAAAGGAAGTGGAGGTGGCTGCGGAGCTCACAGGGTGCTGATGGATGCACAGAGGGGTCCAGAGATGCTGGTGCTGCCCAAGGCCACCAGCTACCTGGGAAGGCTGCAATAACCAGCCCACGCCAGGGGGCTGAGGAGGGGGACACAGCAGCACAGAGGCTGCTCTCCAGGGGTTCCCCCTCTCTTGTCCTTGGCTGCAGCCAAAGGGAGGTGGTTCGGCACCCGGGGAACCACCAGATTTCTCTTTGTAGAAACCCAGAGCCACTGAGGTTCTGCCCCGGGTGCAGGCAGGCAGTGGAACCCCTGCCCCACAGCCTGCCGCAGCATCCTGCCCCACAGCCTGCTGCAGCATCCTGCCCCACAGCCTGCTGCAGCATCCTGCCCCACAGCCTGCCGCAGCACCCTGCCCCACAGCCTGCTGCAGTGCCCTGCCCCACAGCCTGCCGCAGCCCCCTGCCCGTGCACGCTGCTTTTTCCATGCCAGGGCATGTCTGGTGCTTTCAGGCCAGCCCTGCAGCTCCTGCTGCTGCCTGGCCAGTTTTGGGCTGCAGTGGGGTGCAGACCATGCTGGGTTGTGTGGGATGCGGCTGGCTCTTACCTGAGATCTCCATCTCATCCAGGCTGGGCTGCAGGGGCGCCAAGTCCGGCTGTATCATGTCAGCATTCCCAACATAGGCTGGAAGAGGGCAGAGCTGCAATGCTGGGGCCCAGGCACAGCACCCTCAATACCCCCTTCAGGGTTCCTCCCACCCCTGCCCTCATACCTGCCTGGCTGCAACCCCTCGTGGCACCCCACAGTCACCCTGTGTTGCTGCTCCTTGCACTGGCAGGCAGGTGGGTGCCCACTCTGTGGAGACCCAGGACCATCCCATCCCCACCATCCTGCCCACCAGTGCCCCTGGGACCTCCTCCAGTGCCCAAGTACTCCAGGGAAAAGATGATCCTTGGCACAGGACCCACCTGGTGCTGCAGGAGCGCCCGGGACCTGCCCCGGCGGGGACAGCAGAGGGTGGCCGTGGAAGGCAGGACCTGTCTGCTCCTCACCCAGGGCTGGCAGCACTGCCCTGGAGGCTGGTGCAAGGTCCCTCATGGGTCTAGTGCTGCCTGGGCAGCTCAGCACATCCCGCCTGAGGCAGTCTGTGGGGAGCCACCCAAGGAGGGGATGCTCCCACCCTTCCCAAATGGAGCTCTCACTTTGTAGCATCCCCCCCTCCTGCCCCAGCAGGAAGGATGCCGGGGGATCCTCTCTGCTCAAAAGACACAGGCAGCAGCTCCCAGGGTCAAGGCCAAGAAGCAGCACGGTGCTACTGTGTGTGCTGCCCACCTGGACCTCCTCCTCCACATCCTGCTAGAGCATGGTCTGGAACACCTACCATCCTCGGGGAGTGCCTGATGGGCACTGGGCGTCTGTGTCATGGTGAAGAGGGTGTCAGAGATGTCCGAGAGGAAGGTGTCCAAGTCAAAGTGCTGCCTACCCCCTGGCTCCTCTTCCTCATCCCCAAGCAGCATGGGCACCACGTTGCAGAAGAGCTGGTTGCACCATTTCTCCATTGGCCTCCAGAGATCTTCATCCTGCATGAGATGAGCAAAGGAGCTGAGTGGGAAGGGCCCATGCCTGGCTCCCCAGCTGCTCTCCCTCACAGCTCCCATGCTCCCTACAGCATTTATCACTCCAAAGCTTCCCACCCGGCACATTGGTGCTTCCAGAAGTGTGAGTGCGGCATCCCAAGGGCTTGGCATCCCATCCCATAAGGCTTAGCATGCCCTGGTGCTTCTGCCAAGCTGCCCAGTGCAGGGGTTTGCATTGTGCCCCCCTAATGCCCGCTCCCCACCCTTCCCCAGCAGACTCACCTGCTTTGGACTGGAGACCTCCTCCTCCCGAGTGGTCTTTCGGAGCTGGAAGGCGAAGATAGCCCATGTCACCCCCCAGCCGAGGCAGGCACAGTGTGGGGCAGGGCCAGGGGCAGGGCAGAGAGGAGCAGTACTCAGGACGGAGGTCCCTGGAGGGCTCAGGGTGCCTGCCATGAGCTCACATCTGCCTTTACTCCACAGGGTTTGGGCTGAGCGGCGGCGGCAGTGGTGGGACCGGTGCTGTGTGTGACTGCCAGCACCCTGCCTGCCCGTGTCACCCCAGCCTTTATGGGTCCCCAGCTGGACCACGCTCCACCCCGCGTGGCAGGAGGCCAAGGCTGTGGTGCCAGCCTGAGCAGAGCAGGCAACCAGAGCAGCACGGAGCCACCCAGCCTGCCTGGCAGCACGTGCTGGCAGGGTGAGATGTGGCTGCCAGCAGCATGCCTGTGAATCCCAGCCTAGCCCCAGTGCCGGCCCTGCCCGACCCACCCCAACACGTGAGCTGTGGGTGTGCTGCCAAACCCAGCCCCAGAGGGTGCAAAAGGCAGGGGACAGGCAGGCAGAGCACACCCAGCACTGCAGACAGCATGGGATGGGGTCCCCACTGAACTCCACCCCATCAGCACCATCTGAGCAGCCAGCATCCCCTCCCATGCTGGCAAGAGCCGTCCACATCCTGCTCCCAGTCAGCCATGGCTCCGTGCTGGGTATGCTGATGTCCTGCCCCACCACGGGCACCACCACGGGACAGGCAGCACCATGGGCAGAGCCACTCACCCGCTTCTTGTAGTAGATCCTCCACTTGTGGTACTCCCTCATCACCACCTCGATGCGGCGTTTCCAGTAGTTGCCCTCCAGCACAACAGCCTGGTGGGGCGGGACAGGGGGTGAGGGCTGACCCCCACAGCCCGCAGCCCCCCACAGCCCCCCGCAGCCAGGGCTGGTTTCCTTGTGCCACATCAGAAGCACCTTTCCAGCAGATCTGTGACACACAGCCAGGTCTGCCCCTGTGTCCCCAGCTCCCCCTGTGCTGCGCAGACCTGCTCCTGCAGGGGACCGTGCCCTACCTCTGGTTTTCGGTGCTCATCAGCTTCAGAGCCCTCAAGCGGGGTGATGAAGCCGCACACGGGATTCTTCCTCCGCTCCACATCTGCACAGGGGAGCACACAGCTGGCTTTACCCATGGGTCCATCCCTGGGCAGCCCCATCCTGCCTGGCATCTCCTGCACTCAGCAGGCTCTGTACTCACACTGGATGTACCACGCTCTCCAGATAGCGTTGTTGAGACGAATTTTGTCCCGGCAAAGCAGCCTCAGCCCCTTGAAATTCTTCCACTTTGGAGACACCAGCTTCCCACTAAAACACCAAGCAAAGGAGAGGCTGAGGGGGACCATCCCCCAGCCTGCCCAGTTCAGGGTCTCACAAGAGGGAGGTGTCTCGAGAGGGGACCAGGCCACCAGCCTGGTGGCACATCTGGAGCAGGACCAGCCACGTGGCTGTGCTGCAGGCACCCTGAGCTCACCTTCACCTTGGGAGCAGCACAGACCTAAACCATGAGCTTCACAGACCCACATGAGGTTTCTCCAGCCCCCAGGACTAAAGCAGATTGAGGCTCAAACTCGGCATCAAGGAGGGACCCCACTGCCCCCCACCAGCGCGTCTCCATCCTGGCCCCAGGGGATGCAAAGAAAGTTTCCAGCCCAGGAAAGATGCCTGGGGAGATGTGGTGCTGTGGCTCTTGCCTCGCTGCAGCATCTCCCCCTCTGCTCTGGGGAGACCCCCCCTGCAGTCCTGATCCAGCTCTGGGGCAGCAGCACAAGAGGGACCTGGAGCTGTTGGAGCGAGGCCAGAGGAGGCCATGGAGATGCTGCGAGGGCTGGAGCAGCTCTGCTCTGGAGCCAGGCTGAGAGAGCTGGGCTGGGGCAGCCTGGAGAAGAGAAGGCTCCTGAAGGGGAGACCTTAGAGCAGCTCCAGTGCCTAAAGGGGCTGCAGGAAACCTGGAGAGGGGCTTGGGACAAGGGCCTGTAGGGACAGGCCAAGGGGAATGGCTTGAACCTGCCAGAGGGGAGACTGAGCTGAGCTCTTAGGCAGAAGCTCTTCCCTGGGAGGGTGCTGAGGCGCTGGCACAGGGTGCCCAGAGAAGCTGTGGCTGCCCCATCCCTGGCAGTGCTCAAGGCCAGGTTGGACACAGGGGCTTGGAGCAAGCTGCTCCAGTGGAAGGGGTCCCTGCCCGTGGCAGGGGTTGGAGCTGGATGAGCTTTAAGGTCCCTTCCAATACAAGTCAGGCTGGGGTTCTACGGTTCTATTTCTGACCCTCCTTTTAATGCCAGGCAAGGCTTGGAAAAGCTCCCTTCAGCTGGGGCAGGGGCAGGTAGAAGGGCAGGCATCTGCATGGGTCTGGGAAGAAAGAGAGCAAACTGGAGTATGTTATAGACCTTAAGGGACACTCACTTGTGCCCCAAGACAGGCACAGAGCGGGACCAGCTCTGCCCTCAGCCCAGCACTGCCCTGAGCTCTTCTCCACACCCATGCCCTACAAACCTGTGCCCCCATCGCAGCCCCCAGCCCTCCCTCCTTCCTGTTTCCCAGCTCCCAGCAGCAGCTGTGTTTGTTCTGCTGCTCTCTGTGGTGCGGTGATGTCCCTAATGGGGCCCGCAGTGCAGGCAGCCTCATTTCACTGATTGTCTTGTTTCCTTCCAGCTGAGTGGAGGTGACCTGGTGTGCACTGACCAGGGACATCCATGGGGTCCTGCTGCCCCAGGAGCTCCATGGGGATGCTGGGGTCTCTCTGCTTTACTTTGGGGTCCTTTTCCCCTCTGCCTGTGAGTTCAGCAGCTGCCCTGGCCATGGGCTCGCAGCAATGTCGGCTGCACAGAAAGGGCAGGCTGGAGGCTGCACAGCATCCCTCCCCAGGAAGTCCATGCTGAGAGTTTGTCCCTTAAAGAGCTCGGTGCTATTTTGGGTCCCACTTATGCTGGGCACATGCATGGAGGAGGAGGGGTAGATGCTGGGCTGGGTTTAGGGATGCTGTATTCCCTCGCTGCCAGCATCTCTTGGGTCCCTCAAGATGCTGTCAGTCCATGCTCCCAGGGAGGTGCTAGGGACAAGAGCAGTACCTGGGTAATGCTTTAAGTAGCAGCACACTTGTTCACTCAAGCTTGTGAAACCTCAGAGCACCCTTGAACAAAGACTGGCCTGTTCTGCATTAACCTGCCCTTTTGAAATCTGGCACGGGCCAGCAAGTGGGGCTCCCTCCCTCTGCAGCGGTACCAGCAAGGAGCTGGATTGCAACCAGGCTGCTGCCCCCGAGGTTAGAGCCTGAACAGGCAGCAGTGCAGGCAGAGAGAGCCCTGTCCTGCTCCGGCTGGAGGAAGCATGCCAGGGTGGAGGGGAGAGGAGAGTGATGCTGCCCCATCTCACTGCAGGGAACAAGGACGGGGACCTCTTCGGCTCCAGAGCCTGATGCAGGGATGTGTCTGGGATCAGGTGCTCCCACCCCTGGGGCGGATGGGGATGGTCTCCTCACAGAGACCCCCAGGGGCTGGGGAAGGATCTGTGTCCCTGTGGCTCCAGCCTGCAGAGAGTTAAGGACGCGGCTGTGCGCTGGCCACCCTGCTATCACCAGGAGTTTGAACTTTCCCCCTTGGCACAAGGCAAACAGCGCGGTGGTGCCAAGCAGAGGAGCCAATGGAAGGGACGGGTTTCCCGGGCACGTGGCCATATCGCCCCGGTCAAGGCTACCCGGCCACCCTCACCGGTGCCGCCCACCGACAGCCAGGGCACGGGAGGCAGCACGAGCGCAGGACCACAGCCCATGGATGTGCACCTCGGCCACGCTTGGGGCTGGTGGGGTTGTGGCCATGGAGCTGCTGCGGGTCCTGGGAGCTGCCTTTGGGCTTTGCCATAACAGCCTTTTTTGCCTATTAAGAATCCTTTCAGGTTTGGGGCTTATCAGGCTGATCTTTGCTCCCTGGTTTGCCTTGGAAATGGCCCCACCCTTCCCAGGGAGGTGAATGCAAACCCCAGGCTGAGACAGGAGAAAGGTTTGGGATGTCCCAGGCTGCTGCATGCTGCAGAGGAATGGGGACGCAGGGGCCACCATCATCTACGGGGGCATGGGGTGAGGTGGGAACAGGGTTCAGCCTGGGACCAAACCTGGTGTGGGTCAGCACTGCCTCTGTTTTGTTCAGTAGGTCCTGGATTTGCTCCATGATTCATTCAGCCTGTCCAGAGGTTTAAGGTGTTGCAGCCCCTGCCTTCATGGCAAAGCGAGTGATCTGCTCTGCATCAACAGCAAGAGGAGAGGGGAGGAACGATCTGGTGTAGGTGCAGGGCTGTTGGGATGCGGCGTGTCCCAGGGTGGCTGGAAGAGGACAGCATTCCCTGCAAGTCCTGACTGCTCATGTTCCATTTCTCACAGCTTTTGCTCCTAAAACAATGGTTTTTTCCTTGAATTTTTATGCTTTAAGATGCAGAGTCTGACAAAGGAAAGTTAAAAATCCAACCACAGTTTTCCTGAATAGTGCCTCCAAGTAAAAAACCGAATGTGTTCAAATCCAGCTTCAAATCTCTGCCGTCTAAAGGAGCTTTTTTAATTCACCGCACTGTGCTGATGGAGAGGCTGCTGCTCCAGCTTGGCCGCTCATCGTGCTGCCTGAGTTAACTCGAGGGCAGTGTTGTAACAAAGGTGTTAATAGGGTGTACTGTGGATTAGATAGGGACCTGCTCTGTGTATTTACTCCCAGATTGGAGTGCTCCTACACTCACAGCTCTGCCTTTTGAGCAGCCATCATCCTTCCTGCAGAGCAAGCATGGAGTGCCCCAGATGAGAAGGAAAGTCCTTTCAGTTGAACCTGCTTAGCCGAGTCCAGAGGAGGCCATGGAGATGCTGCGAGGGCTGGAGCAGCTCTGCTCTGGAGCCAGGCTGAGAGCTGGGCTGGGGCAGCCTGGAGAAGAGAAGGCTCCTGAAGGGGAGACCTTAGAGCAGCTCCAGTGCCTAAAGGGGCTGCAGGAAACCTGGAGAGGGGCCTGGGACAAGGGCCTGTAGGGACAGGCCAAGGGGAATGGCTTGAACCTGCCAGAGGGGAGACTGAGCTGAGCTCTTAGGCAGAAGCTCTTCCCTGTGAGGGTGCTGAGGCGCTGGCACAGGGTGCCCAGAGAAGCTGTGGCTGCCCCATCCCTGGCAGTGCTCAAGGCCAGGTTGGACACAGGGGCTTGGAGCAAGCTGCTCCAGTGGAAGGGGTCCCTGCCTGTGGCAGGGGTTGGAACTGGATGAGCTTTAAGGTCCCTTTAACCCAAACCAGGCTGGGATTCTGTGATCTAAGTCCTCTTGCAAATAGCTGTCCAGGAAGCTGGATAGCTGCAAACCCAGGTGGGTATCTTGGCGATCCCTGGAGATATGACTCCCATGTGCATTAGAGTGGGAGCAGACCTGCATACCAGCCAGCTCCTCTGCACACTGCTTGCACAGGATCAGCCCCAAATCCTTGGACAGTGACAGAGAAAAGGCGCCCAGCTCCCTGCCATTAGCGACATCACACCATGCTGAGCATGGATGGCTTCAGCCCAAGCCCTTCCTTTCCCCTGACCCACTATTGCCCTTCGTGTGGATAACCCACGGCAGACACTGCCCGACCCACCGCAAAGCCCCAGAGGGTTCCACTGCCATCGGCACCGAGCTCTGCCCCGCTCAGCTCCCACCGCAGCCCAGCCAGGGCGCAGGCAGCACCCGGGGGGTCTGAGGTCTGGGTGAGACCAAAGCCTCCTTAGATGGTGGGGATGGAGCCAGCAATGCCAGGGTGTGGGTACAGCAGGGCAAGGCGCTTCCAGCCGGTCTGAGCTGATGCACAGGGCTGCGGGTGAGTGCTGGTGAGCTGTGGGAGGCTGAGGTGGGGGGGGCAAAGGGAAGTTCAGGATAGTAAAGGAAACGGGGAGAGGGCAGCTCAGTGCGTGCATCACCGTGATCACCGCCTGCGTGCTTTCTGCCCTGGTGCATGAGTGTTCAAGGCACTGTGAAGTAGAGAATCAATGAGAGAGTATGGCAAAGCTATATGAGCAATTCCACTGCTAGGAAAGCCTCAGAGCCTGCTATCAGCTCGCCAGGAGGATGGATTCACAGGGAGTGTAATTGAAGCCTGCCTCTTTTTAAATCACAAAAGGGGCAGAGATGATACTCCAGGTGGCCTAACAGCCTGATGGGCCTGCCTGCTGAATCTCTCCTCTCAGTATCTGCAGGGGAGCAGAGGTTAAACCTGCATCCCATCCTAAGAGCAGCTACAGAAGGCTTCTGAAGCATAAGACAGGCATGTCCAAGGTAACACGGCGAGTGGCTGCAGTTTGCAGTTCCCATCGGCACCCAGTTTTTCTCCCTTCAGGAGGACGGTTCCCCAGGCCAGGCATCCAGTGACTCCCTGCAGGGGGTCACAGGAAGGGGAGTGAACAAAGGAGACCCACTCTGCCAGGCAGGACACTGGGAGTCCCACTGCAGACATGGGGAGAAAGAGCTTGCTTGGGTCGGGGGACCATGCTAAGGCCAAAGTGGGAAGAGATCCTGAAGGAGCTCAGCTCCACATGCTCTGCTTTTGGGGGGAATGAAGGCAAGTGAGCTGCAGGGAGGTGAAGCCATGGAGAAACAACAGCCTAAGGAAGGCATTCAGAAGGCATCCAGAAATGCAGCACATTGCAGGAGAAGGAGCGGAAGACATTCATGAAGTCTTTGGCAGGAGAGCTGCTGGAAGTGTCCTGGAAAATGGGTACTGGGAAAAAGGGCCTGGGAAGTGCTTCATCCCAGCACCAGGAGGAAGACCTGGGGAGGAGGAGGGGGGTTCCCTCTCTTGGAGAGATCTGAAGAAACAAGTTACTGCCAGAAGCCAGGCTTGGTGTGGAGAGAGGGCTCCTTCCCCAGCAAGGGGATGATGCTGAGCCCAGCCCCTGAAGGGGTAATACATGAGATCCTCAGGGTGATTGCTCAAGCTGAGACACAGCTGCCAAAACGTCTGTGAAGTGCCATGGAGGAGCGTTGGCGAGGGGAGGAATCACAGCTGCCCACATGAATCTGGAGGGCTGGAAGTGGATAATCCTAAGGTCCTTTCCAACCCAACCTGTTCTGTAATTCTATGATTCTATGAAAGTTGAGCTACAGCCACGAAAATGGTGCTGTCTGGAGAGAGTTTAGTGAATTGCCTTTGAAACTGTGTGAGCCTGGGCAGCAAGGGATGGGCGGCTGCAGCAGTCCCGGCTCAGCCAGCAGCTCAGGAGTGACAGCTCCCTGCACGCAGCGCTGCAAAGGGCAAGTTTGGGTGTTGCGTTCAGAGTGGTGCCCCTGACAAAAGAGGGATGCTCACAAACTGGAGTGATCCTGCAGCAGGGTGCTAAGATGGTTGGCGACTAATGTACACGACAGAAGAGGAGGGTGGCTGCCGTGTGTGTTCAGCCTGAAGAAGAGAGGCTGAAGAGAGCCGGAGGGATGGAGCCTTGCCTGCAACATCATGGCCAGCCAAGGGTGGTGTCCAGCTGCTGTGGTCTGCTCCACTGCCAAGGCAGGTGCACCCTGCCCCTTTCCCCTCTGCCCAGGGAGCACCAGAGCTCAGGGGCATCCAGAGGCTGTGATGCATCTCAGGAGTCAAGAGCTTGAGCACTTGGGGTGGAGCAGTGCCTGCTCCTCCAGCCCCAAGCTGCAAGGGTCAGAACACAGCAAGTGTGCGGCTGGGAGAGTGAAGGAGTGTGGCCAACAGTGCCTGAATGTCCCCTGTGTGTGGCACTCAGGGGTGACTTGCCCCTGACTTGTCCCCCCATGCTGATGCTCACCATGGTCCCACAGAGTGCCAGCTGCACCAGCACCTTGAAGGAGGCTGCGCAACGCTGGCCATGAGCAAACCCTGCAATCTGTGATGTGGCCATGGGCCAGGTGTACACAGCTATGTGGCAACGAGTAGCCTTGGAATGCTGTCCCAATGCCCCATGTCACCAGGGCTGCTCTGCAATATGACCACATATTCCATCATGTTCAGCACTCGAGGTCTTCAAGGCATAGCTGAAAGGTGAGCAACGGAATGAGACCCTGTGTGAAACAAGGCAATAGACAACTCCTGAAGCCTGTTTTGCTGAGGTTTTGCTTTCGCATGGACATTGTCATTCCAGGTTTCCACCTGCACATTTGGGGAAAGTTATGTAAGCAGTTTTGTGCTGACACCAGTAGAGCAAGTGACTCTGATGCTATGCTTGAGAGAACTCAAAACCTCGGGGCCTTGGCAAAAGAGTGTGGACCAAGGCACTAAGAGACATGATGCAGGCTCTGCTGTTGTCACTGAGAGGCTGCGGGATGAGCAGGTCCCTGCCATCCTGGGTTCGGCTGATTTGTGTGGTTGAGGGAATGATGCAGTCACCCATCCCATTTTGCAGGAGAGAAGGAGGGATGCTTTCAAAGGCCCTGGACAAAGCCCTGTGCAGCCATCCAGCCCCAAGTGCTGCTGCATGCCCTAGAATAACCTCGGGACACGTGGGCAGAGCCAAGGACGGGAAGGCAGGACTACTGCTCTGGGCTGGATTGCCAAAGACTGAGTGTTGGCTGCCCACAGGGTTATTGCTGCTCTACAGAGAGTGCAGGATCTGGCCATGAGGGTGCCACAGCTGGGTGCGGTGACTCCAGATCTCATGGGAAGTTGGAGAAGGGTTAAGCTACATGTGAAGAGAGAAGGTACTTCCCATCTGGCTCCACAGCCAAGAACCCAGCCCCAGCTCTTTGTCCCCCAGCCCTCCCAGGCTGGTGGGTTTGGAGCACATTGCACATCGCAGTCCAATGGAGAAGGAGAGCAAGATGCCAGTTTCTGGATGGGCAGTAGGGCTCAGCCAGCCTCACACCTTCAGAGAGCGAGGGGGGTCCTTAGACACATGCCAGCGAAGGGTCCCTGGGACTCACCTGTACTCCAGGCTCATGCACTCGAAGAGCCGGGTGAGGGTCGGGTCGATGCTCCGGGGATCAGCCGCTTCGGGCTCGGTGCGGTGATGGCGCCGCCGGGGCAGCGAGTCGCTGTGCGGGGACGACACCATGAAGTGACCACTGTGGATGACCTGAGAGGGGTTCTGCGCCCTGGCACCAGCTCCTGTGCCACCCACAGCCGTGTCCTCAGAGTCTGAGTCAGAGTCAGACATGGGGCATGGCCCAACCGGGGGCTCCGGGAAGGGTCCCGGCAGCCCCACCTGAGCTCCTGCCATCACCTTCACTGGCCTGCCCCAGTACTGAGGTCCATGTCCTGGAAGTGCCAAAGCCCTGTGGATGCTGTGCTGGCACTGAGCACGTGCCGCTGGGCTCCCCAGCTCAGGACACCCACAGCACACCACACCTCCTGCTCGGCTCCGCTCTCCCTTCCCCGGACCACGCTGCCTCCTCCACACTCCAAGGGTCAGCTTTCGTTTCGCCGAGCAGCTCAGTCACCAGCCCTATTTATAGCGCTGGCAGCTGATCCCGCCCATGGCACCCTGCGCCCGGGCACCGGCCCCCTGCCACGCGAGCTTCAGCTCCGCTCCTGCCCATGTGCCCCATGGCCCCGGCTTTTATCTGCCCTGCAAAGCGGGGCGGGCCGCGGGTGCCTGTCCCCTCCTCTGCAGCGCACCGCAGTCAGCTCTGTTTACCTGGGGTAATCACTGCTCCCGGCGCGCTGGCTCTATTTACCTAGTGCCTCTGCCCTCATGTATCTCCCTGCACTTCCAAGGGAACAAATACAGATTAAGGGACACAAACAGGTGAAATTATAGCAACGGGCACCCAGCTCAGCACAAGGAATGCGGAGTTACTGAGCCATGTGCTGAGAAACAGCCCGGGCAAAAGCCTGCTTCAAGGGGTGACCCGGCAAGAAAGGGGATGCAAAACCTGAATGAATGCAAGAGATAACAACAGTGAGCTCAGGTGTGCTGAGATTTACACACCTTGTAGTCATGCAGTCCTTCAAATGGGTTGTCTTCACCTCTGAGGTGTCCTGAGAGATGCTGACACAGGCAGGGCTGGATGCACCAGCCCCTCCAATGCTCTTCTTTGATGAATACCGGGACCTGTTGCCATAGCATGTGCCATGCCAGTCAGACCTATGTCACAGGCATCTCCTCACTGACCAGAGCCACAGAGAGACACAGTGGATGTAATTTCAGGCTTAAATCACTTCTTTTTCTTTCTAGTTTCTGGCTTATTCTTCCCTAGCTCCAAAACCTGGCACAAGCACACATGCCTAGAGAGCACCCAGGACAGCTTTTGGGTACCTCTGTTGAAAACACGTGGCATAAAACTAACATAGCCTCCAAGCTTTAATCCAGCTTGCAGGTGTAGCACACTGGTGGGGACTTCTGCTGCTCCAGAGGAGGGAGCTCCCCTCCGGGGTCTTTTTCAGAGCTGCCAGAAGCACATGTACAAAGAGCTGGTTTGGGTACTTTCACACTGAGGGGTGCAAACCCCACTTTGAAACTGATTCCTCGCCTTTCAGGCAGACCTGTGCTGCTCTTTCCCTTCTCTGTGATTCAGCACCAGCACGTCAGCCCATCCCGAGCTGCCAGTCAAGGTAATGAAGAGAGAAGTCATTTTAAGCCTACTGTGTGCAGACATTGTGAAGCGATGATCGGCAGGTGGGTGTCCTGGGAAGCTAAGAACTAGACAAGCCAGAAGAGAAACAAAGATGCCAGGGATGCGCCGGGTTTCTGGGAGCGCTCCTACTGCAGAGCCATGCTGTGCAAAAGGGATTTGCCAGGTTTTGTCCCAAGGTTTCCCTTTGTCCCAAGGTTTTGTACCATCTGTTTCCCACCGAAGGCAGACTCTGGTCCTCTGGGACAGCATATGTCTAAGGGAAGCAGAGAAATACATCAGTGAGGCTTTTAGGGACATCAGAACTCCCTCATCCCTGGTCCAGCAGCCCTTGTGCTGCAGAGGAGGGAAATCTCTTGGATGAAAGGCACTCATCCTGGGGAAGCAGTTGATGGTTCCCTCAGAAGGACATTCCCCATCAAACAATGGATCAGAGCAGGGACCCCACAGAGGAATGGGCGGGCTGCAGTGCTGAGGGGTTTTGTAACTGGCTGTTTGGATCCTAATACATGCAATGCCTGGTACAGCCATACGGATGCAACAGAGCCTTGGAGAGCATGGCAAGGGAGTTGTAGACCTGAGTGCAACACAAGGTGGATGTCCCAGAGGTGTCCCAAAATGTGCACTGCCACCCGGGAGGTTGGAGGTCAGAGCCCCCACAGCAACACTTCAAAATGACCCCAACACCACCAGCAGGGAGAAACCGCCTCTGCCTGGGAGGAGAACAGTGTTGGGACAGAGAGGCCCCAGGAGCCCTCACCAAGCTCCACCAGAACATCTCAGATCTGTGACCTGTTACTTGCCTACCAAGGGAATGGAGGTGGCACAGACAGTGTTCACTTTTGGAAGGCTTGGCCACCCATCTAGGGATCTCTGGAGTTAGAGGTCTCATTTCTGTACCAAGTGGTAGGAACTGTAATGAACGTGGAATCTGTGGGACCTTGTGGATAAATACAATAACCTGAGGAAGAGTCCGTATAGGTTTTTAGAGGAAAGCTGTGGCTCAGGAATCTGTTACGGTTGTTGGAAGGAGAGGTGTTGTACGTGGACAACAGTGATCTGGTCAACACCGTGTAATCCAAAAAGCTTTTAAGAATATCCATCATAGAGTCTCAAAGACACCAAGTTGTAACAGATCAATAGCTTATGATGCCAGAAAGCGACAATAAGAGCAATTGGTTAATATTCACAAGGTAGCCTCTTGGATGCTGCAAGTATCTCTGCTGGGGCTGGGTTTTTCAGTGAATAGCACAGTGACAACAGCTTCTGGTGAGGAAAATAATCGAGGGCAGTCATGTGCAGAAGTGTCTGTAGAGAGCTTCAGAAGGTTTCAGGCTGCAGAGGGAGCGGGTGATAAAGTGGCAAAAGAAACTCAATGTTGATGAAGGAAGTGCACCCCTAAGGGTACTGTACACAGTGGGGGGCTTGAAATTAGCAATTGCCATTCAAGAGGCAGATCTGAGGGCAATTGTAGGCGATTGTCTGAAAACATCAGCTGGAGGCTCAGGAACCATTCAAACGTAAAAGGGCTTCAGAAATTGCAAGGGAAGGAGCGGACTTTGAGCACAAAGCATCCCCTGCCCCTGTATAAACTGGAGGGTGCTCGCAGCTGTGTAGTTGTGGTGCTCAGCCCAGAACAGAAATAGAAAAGGTCACTGAAATGAGGAAGCTGAGTGATCAGAGGTGGGAATGGCATCCCTGAAAGAAAAGGCTGAATACATCAGGGCTGCCTGTGTTAGAAGAGAGATGAATGAGGTGGAACACACTAGGGGTGTAGGTACTGATGCAGCAGGAACACAGTTAGAGAATTCAGCACTTTTCACAGCACAAGAACTAGGGGCACCAGGCAAAGCAATGTCTGGCAAGTTCATCTCAAGATGTATTCCTGAACCTCATAATCCCTGCTTGTGCAAGCTCACCACATTTCCTGGAATACAGCTCTGAGGACCACATTTTCTATGAGGAAGCAGATGAAATTCCTGGAGGTAGGCTCCATCCCAGACACCAAATGGTGACCAACAGAGAGAACTGGATTAAAGCTCCAGAACTGGACTGCAGGATGCTGGCAAGTGGATGCAGTCTCACTAGCAGTGCCTGCAGTGGCTCCTGCTTTGCAGGGGTGGGTGAAGGAGGTGGTGCCATGCTTCTGGTCTTGCCAGGTTTCCCATGGGGCACCTGTCTTCAACAAGGCAGTTGAAGAATGGAGGAAGAGATGGAAAACTCTTGCCATGGGCTCACTGTACCCACTTCCCTCAGGAGCTGAGGTCCTTCACAAAGGAACACCCAAGCCCACCCCAGTGCTGCTGTGGGAGGCCACAGTGGTGGCAGGAATGAAATCCTCCAAAAGATGCAGCCCCATCTTGGAGGCTGATGGCCCCTGAGTGATGGCAAGTTCCAGTGTCATGCTAGTCATCATGGCACTGTTCATTTGGGAAGGCTGGATCTCCAGATTGCTGCAGCAGAAACCACTGCACCCCAAATGGCTCAGAACCAGACACAACGTGCCTGCTGTTGCCTGCCGTGGCAGGTGTTGGAGCTGGATGAGCTTTAAGGCCCCTTCCAACACAAACCAGTCTGAGGTTCTGTGATTCTAGGATTTTCTGCAATAAAATGTCAACAACTATCCCAGAAGCCATTATCATCCCAGAGCTCGTTTAGCAGAGACTGGAGGAGGTGGAAGCACTAGGTACTGGTGCAGCTTTGCCACCTACGACTGCAGGCTGTTGGCACGGTGCTGCGTTACAGGGATCAGATTTAAGGCTTTGATCTTATGACGCTTTCCAAAGTAACTGAAAGGTGCAGGTGCCAAGGCAATCTCTCCTTCGGTGTGTACAAGTACCACGTACACGAGAAGGTCACCTCACATGATCTTTGCACGTCATCAGAAAGGACCCTGCGCACTGCCTGGGAGACGCAGGGCTGTAGGGCCCAGATGAAGCACAGCATTCTTGCTAGAAGCAAAGAGCACATGATTATGAGCAGTGAAAGTGAATATAGTCTTAATGAGAACTAGCAGGCAGCCAGTACTAGCAGCTTTCTCAGCACTACTGGTGGCTTTTGCTCTTAAAATGTGATGACACATGACTCATCTTGGGGACATGGCCCTTCTTCCATCTCTACCTGCTGTCGGAAGTGCTCTTTCCTCTGGGAGGGCTGCCACATGTCACAGCTGTGACAGTCCCAACTGCGGCAGTGTTGCCATATCATGCCTACAGCACATCACTTCTCTGCTTCCTCTGTCTGTTAATGGGGCTGGCCTTTGCTTGCCCTGAGTGTGTGGGTGCCCACGGGGCAGGATTTCATAGAATCATCATAGAATGGTTTGTGTTGGAAGGGATCTTAAAGCTCACCCAGCTCCAACCCCTGCCACGGGCAGGGACCCCTTCCACTGGAGCAACTTGCTCCAAGCCCCTGTGTCCAACCTGGCCTTGAGCACTGCCAGGGATGGGGCAGCCACAGCTTCTCTGGGCACCCTGTGCCAGTGTTTATTGATTTATTGACCTGGGCAGGATTTGAGCAGGTTGCTGTGAAATGAAGGACAGAAACAACCCACAAGAGGGAAATTTAGGAACTGGAAACACAGCTCAATGGAGCAGGCACTTCTCAGGAGTCCCTCTCTGCCAGAGCACTATGGCAGACACAGGTGGACTCATAGGACAGAGCATCTGCATCACACCACACTGTGCCTCACTCTGCTCAGAAGGGTGCCAAGAGCCCAACTACACACAGACATCACTTGATGTGGCCTTGGGAGGAACCAGGGCAAGGGTGTGCTGGCAGGGATGGGAAGTGCCAAGTGCAGGGTGGAAGTGGGTCACATCACAAGGTAACAGCTAAGGGACAGCAGCAAAAGCTTTTTGGGGAAGGCAGAATATCAGTTTCTTCT